ATGGATAACAAAACTGCTATTTTCAATGACTACTTATTTTTGTCCAGCTTTAACATCGGTATCGATATTGGTTATCGGCTACATGAGTTTTAAAATATCGGATATCAGCAAAAAAAAAATATCGTGCATCCCTAAAGATGTGTAACCAAAATCACCTATTTATGACAGCTAAATTATTCTTACACCTTTTTTAGATTTTGAGCCTTTAGCTTATGCATTCTTCTCCAGGCTAAGTAATATTTCAATTAAATCAAAATGAAAATACACGGGCATTCTTTATCGTCAGAATATTTTTTTATAATTCCAGAATTAATATGCATTTATACCCTGTCATTATTTATTCACACCCTTTAGTAGATTGAAAAACCTTCATTATGGCAATGAAACTATTCTATTCTCAGACTGATGCGACAACCGCAGAACACTTTGTTGAATGAAAGATAAGGAAAACATTATCATTTTTTTGACTAACAAAACCTAATGGTAATAACAGTTTCACCCATGATGATCGTCCACTTATTTTTTTCAGTCACTACAAACAGACTTGATAATATAAGAACCTCTAAAACTGCCAAATAATGATATGAAGATCCAAAAGTCAATAAACATATGTTAAAATATTAAAAGGAATTATAGAAAACATTTTATGATGATAAAAGGAAACATTTACATCTTAATAAGATGGATAGAAATACAGGAACTATAAGAGAAAAACATTCAACGGTCTTTGCGCATTAAATGGGTCCTTAAAGGGGTGATAGAATGATTCTATAGGGCATTTGGTCCTTAAGGTCTCTGAATAGGGTGTGTAACATTAATTGAGCTTAAAATGGCATATTTGCTGTTCTATGAGCCCTAATGCAGCCTGGTTAAAAGCCCTAGAATGAAAACAGTTTTTCTTCCTCTTATGGTATGATCATGAATATTTAGATGAGCTGTGCTCTGATTGGTTGGTTTACAGCAAGCGAAGCTGCTGAGCAAAGACGTATCATAGCAACAAGCACTCACCCACTGAAACATCAAATTGTTGATATGGTAGGGTGACCAGACGACCTCTTTTCCCTGGACATGTCCTACTTTTCATACCTATAGTCCAGCCCCGATTATTGCACTTATCGAATGCCCAATAAAACAAACGTGTCTTCCTTTTCAGAAACGCAAATCTGGTGACCATAGATATGCTAGGATTGCTATCAACAGCTTAGCGACAGAATCATACTTCCAGGTTGCGGTTGTGATGGCCTTATGGTGGGAACAGACCCTCGTTTCAGTAAAAGAAGTTAAGCAAATCCTGCTTTGAAATGTCCAAGATTTAGAAAGCTGTCTGCAGTAAAATGCTTAGAGCAAATGAACGAAGAGTGTGTGAGATTTAAACGCTACACACCTGTCAACCTAATAGTAACTGTGCCTTAAAGGTTCTGGCAGAAAATATCAGGAAGCAGGTCTACCCAGAACTACATACCGTCCCTAAATCGTGTACTGGCATGCAGTGCTGGACCATTCCAGCTTACTTTCCCCCCTGGATACAACCACCATCTAAAACGATACCTTTAGATCACTGTTTTATTTCCTTCTTTTTAAACTGTGGAGACCCTTGCTTATTTCTCCTTTACATGGTGTTATCTTTTAGAACAGGGTATCTGCAGGTTTCTGAGAGTTAGATTTAAGACTTTTTAAGACCTTTTTAATACCATGCAGAATTAAATTTAAGACCAATTTCATATCAACAAATTTTCAAACAGCAGTCCAAATCTGGCAATGTATGCAGTTTTGTCTTTACCGCACTCAAATGTACAAGCGATTTCCGAGTCTGGAAACATAGTTCGGAAAATGTCACCGACAGCCTTGTTAGCGTTATACGACTGGTGTTTTGTTACCGTTTGCAGACACCAGAGTACCTCGGCTTTGAGAGTTGCGGTGGAGCCAAATGCTGTTGGGATGTCTGTTGGTGAAGCAACTGCGGTACTTGAGGCTGATGCAGATTCCTGTGTACGGCATGGAGTAGCGCTCTGTGGTACTGATGTGGGCACAACGGAACAGAAATACCTGGTGTTTTCCGACAGGTTTCCGCAGCCACTTTGTGTTTTTCGCACTGCATGTGGGTCTCCAATGCTCTGATCCCCATTGTTCCGAGTTTTAACCCTTTCTTGCACAGTATACACCGGACTTCAAACGCATTGCCACAAACTGGTCTTAACCACGGCGCAAATTTAGGATTATGCAACCAATTTTCATTAAATTTACACTTCCCCATGGTTAAAGGTTAAAGCGAGAAATTTCCACCATTTGCTAATATCCAGTCGACTCCACGCACCTAGTTAACCCCCGTGAACTTGGAATTTGTTAGTTGGTTCCGCCTATTTTTTTTTCTGCGAGAAAATATTGTTTAGACGTAATGTTACTTGATTTTAAAAGGAAAATAAAATAATAATTTA